CAAGACACATATCTGATGTGCAAATAACTATCTGCAAGACATGTCAGTGAAAATCTATTTAAACGATGCCACATTCAAAGATAAAGGTCAACAAAGTTTTACTACTTTCATACTTCAACGTTAATTCTTCGATACATACCTATTTCAACTCTCAATCCTCAAGGAGCAACTCTAAAGGATGGTCACACAGCTTTTTAGCTGTTTTCCTAACCAATATTGTTTATTTTTCTATATTTTTATGTTTTTATAAGATACGAACAAATAAAAATATATCTTTGTCTTCTTTCCTTATAATATTAGTGAATTATAAGTTATTTTTATTTGTTTGTGACATAATATATTGTTAGTACGTATTTAATATATATTTTCATTAATTTATTTGCAGAGGAATTTTTTTTTTTTTTTGATGAATTAAATTTGTTAAATTATTATGCTTTTAATATTACTAATTCATCTTTAATTGTTACTTAATGCTATTAGATAATGACAAATTTTCTCATAAAATCAAAAAGCAAAAGTAAGAATATATAAATATAAATAGTTACCTTCAATAAATCGGAGATCTTATGCAATCGCGTAACTCATCTAATATTTGAACGGGTGCCGAAGGCACCTTCAACAAAGAAATTTTGAACCCCCTTTAAAAACTAACCTTTAAACAATGAAAAGTCTTGCACTATTCTGCAAGTTCGCAACCGAAGTCCCACAGTTGTGAAGAGGCCTCCAGGATTTCAGATTTGCTCTATTCACAATTATCTACACATAGGTAGACATGGTAAGAAGTGATGCAATCTATTATGTGGAAGTATTACATCACGTAAGTCAAGCAACTACAAACTTGTTATTGCTAATATTGCTAGTGTCCTCATGTACATAAACGTTTTTTCTTTTTCTTTTTTACTAACTTAAGCATCGAAACAAATAGATAAGACAATGCATAGCGTAAAAAGATTTGCAAGTAGACAAGATAAATGATTAGGACTTTAGTTATTTCAATGAAATACGAAAGAAAAGTGTATATAGTACATTCTTGAAAATATATACCCTCTCTCAAGAATCAACTATTCACCAACAAATGTTATATCTTGCAATAACTCGTTAACTTAGAACCGTTAAGGATTTGTATGTGGAAAAGATCGATAATCAAGATAACATAAACAAAAGATTTTGAATATTTAGTGATTTCATCTTGAAACTTAACCTATATAATTAATTATAAATTTTTTATAATCTACAAAACTATATTCTGCAATGACCCTTTCTCATTTGAAGGTTGCATTTTTGCAGTTACCACCAACACCACATGTGCCACCCCCGGATGGCAAATCTATGAATTTGAAATCATTATTTATTATATTATTTGAACCTCAATTATGAATAAACTAAGGCATGTGCGACCATACATGAACCGTTGTCGCGATTTGGATCTTTCTAATAATTAATCAACCTTGGATCTCCAACTTGGATATGAAAAGCCCAATTATTTTTTTGAATCTTGTTTAATGGTTCAATTGATACGGCCAAGAAAAGAGAGCAAACACGAATATTAAATTAATGTGAAAAATCAAAATTGCATTGGAGACATCAGGTATAAATAATAAATGCGAAATTTTTTTACATTTTTTTTTTCTTTTTTAGCATTGCAACTCAATAAGTTTTATTGTCGTATTTGTTCAAATTTATTGTTCTTTTTATGGAGACAGTTCAGGGCAATAACTTAGGAAAGTAGTAAATCAGTCTTGATATATTAAATTGATAAATATTGAAGTAAGAAATTAAATTCGAATTTATTTTAATTTTTTATTATTTTTTTTTTCTTTTTTGGTTTTGTAACAACCAATTCGTTTAACTGCTTTTTCTTGTCTCGATTTGTTCACATTGCTTGCTCTTAATTTATTAGTCAAAACAATTACTAGCAATCACTTAAGAAATTCATAAATAGTCTCGAGGAAATAATAGATTATTGAGACGACTAAGAACAATTTAGAATTAATAAATGCGTATTTAAATAAAGTTCAGTTTGTTAATACTTAAATTGCTCTTATTTATCCCAGTTGGTGCTCTTACTTAATTATCTAGACAATTCAAACCATAAAGTAATTGATTACCTAGATTAAATTTTTTGCATAATTAGTCAAAGTCATTAGAAGACATTTGATAGTTAATACAAAGTGAACATGACAAATAATCAATTAATATATACAAATTTCTCTTTTTGTCCTTTTCATTTATATCCCATGGTACATGACATATATTTTTACTTTTTATAGAAGAATTAATGAGAAAAGCTACCATAATTGATTTTTGAAAACTATTTTCTAAAAGAATTTCTTCTTTTGAAAGATTTTTTAGAAGAAATCGCATTGAATCAACTTCCTCTAAAAATTCTTTAAATGAAATATATATATATTTGTATAAAATTAATTAAAAGATCCAAAAGCAGCGTTTTAAAATCATGTCAAATTTGTCATAATATTATATGAAGTAATGATTCATGAATATTCCAATCACTACCATATTACCAATTCAAAATTGACCTCAATGCAAACTTAAACTTAAGGTATGATATGAATCTACGATCTATTTGACATACATACATAATTGATTAAGGCTTTGATGGAGACATTGAGATTATCTGGTATGCTTGACACACGTGATGAGGATCGTATTATCGTGATGGCAACAAGCTTTAGCTGTTTTGCCATCCACCAATGGCAATGTGCGTGGGCATCAACCAAAATGCTGAAGTTGTGCATCCACTACTTACTTAATTGTTAACCTCAGAATCCAACAAACGCATGGCAACCAAAATTTTGATCGCCTCCCCTCCACGTAGATAATGCCTAAGCACCTAAACACTCCGTTAAGATGTAAAGGTATTAAGAGAAAGATTCAACAACCATTTGTACTCCAATAATCAAATTAACACCAGGCAAGAGAGATAAAGTTAGTGCAAGTGACGGGAGAACAGAATTTTATCTAGGATTAGAATATATTACATTTGGCGAATTATGAACTCACATTAGGGATGTCAACAAGTCAAGTTGAACTAGCTCACGAGCTAAAACTTGAGGCTCGTGCTCAACTCGAGGAAAAATGGTTAGAGTTTTTTTTTTGGTTTGAGCCGAGTAAAAGCTCGGCCAAAAAATCTAGGCTCAAACCGAACTTTTGGTTCGGGCTTTATCAAGTTGAGCTGACTCATGTGTTTTTTTTTTTTTTCTAAATAGCCATACGTTACTTTTTTTTTTTTTTTTTTTTTTTTTCCTCGAATCGAGCCTTGAGTCGGGCAAGCTTGGGATTTTTTTTGGTCAAGCCACTGACAACCCAAATCGACGAGCCAAATTGACACCCCTAACTCACATATATGTAGTAGGAATGAAATGGGCAAAATATGTTTAGTGAAATGAACTCAAGTCCAAGCTTTCAATTGAATAATCGATGTCAAGTCGCCATATATAGAACTCCTTTCATCACGTGATTTATAGATATAACAACATATATTTAAATAGATCACTACGTCGTTTATGCAAATCCCGGTCAAACCTCAATTTTCCAAACTGAATAAATTATACAGTCTTCTGATATTATTATTAGTTTAATAATGTAACAGACGATAACAGTTACAAAATTTTAATTTGTCTTTTTAATACATTGTATTGTATAATTGTGAGTAACATGATTTGACTCAACAATCTTACTAAAAGTTAAGGTTTTGAATTTGTCAAGTGACCGTCCAGCTCCCAATAAGAGTGAGTTGTACACAATATTTCGGCCTTTTTTTTTCTTTCTTTAATAGAAATAATTATATTTGAAATCCGTACATTTTATTTTGACAAAATTTAAGTACCGTATTTTCAAAAACAGTATATATTTAATAAATATGATTAATTACCTAATATTTCTAACAATCAGTTGGCGGAATTTAGTGAAGTATATAATGCAATTTGTCTAATTTTAAGGGTACTTACTATATTTTCTAAAACTCCAAAATATTTGGTAACTGAAAATGCTTATAATTTAACTTTTTAAGTATGTTTGACTAACTTATAAGCAAGTTCGCCTAAAGATGCTTGGATTCCTGACTTTGATCTGATCTTGAAACCATTTTTAATGATTCGTCATTTAAATTTTTATTCTAAATAAAAGAATTCTGTGAACTTTATATCGAACTCAATCGAATCCAATTGAGCAAATGTAATTTGTCACAACCTTAATGGAATCCTCAAGCCTTACTGAAACTGAACCCTTTTTTCTAAAAAAATTTTGATTCTAAATTTTGCTATAAAACAAGCTAACTGAGCAATCTTGTTCTTTACCGAAGAAGGTTACATATCATATGTCCGAATGAGAATATGCGACTTGTATATAATTCGGTGTTCATAACGATATTCACCTTCAAAGTTGGTCTCCCTCCAATGAGGTAATGAATATCGTTATGAACACCCTGATGTACGCGTAGTATTATCCGAATGTAACTCGGACTAACAATTAAGTGCATTTCCAAGAAATTTTTTAAACATAAAATGTTATCTATTTTTAAGAGTTGACCTTTAAAATTATAAATTAATGTTTTAGTTTAGAGAGTGGATTTGACTTTCTAAATTTGAGAATAATAAAATTAAATGTTAAATATAAAGAAGATGTTACATACTTCAAAAAAAAAATTTACTCATAGATACTTCCTCAAATGTAGTTGAGATTTTAATTTTGTAGTCAATTCAATTAATTCTTCACATAACATCAATTTAATGGGTAAATGGTGAATTTTTTGACTGTTAGAAATAGAAATAAAGTGGTCCTATTTGTGAGAGAAGAATTCAAAATTGATGGTTGAAATAGTAAAATAATGATAAAAAAAATTAATTTTAATTGACTTAAAATCTGTACCAAATAAACAGTTGAGATAAAATATTAATTTTTGACCTCGTACCAAAAATTGATTGAATGGACAGCAAATCTCGACAGACTCTTTACACAATACGCTCTTTAGAATTAATTAATCAGTCTCTTGGAGATGCTGACGAAAATAAGTAAGCATTTGAAGAAATCAGAAAACTAAACAGATCAGCAAAGCACGTCTCGGTAGCCACCTTTTTTAATTGGTTTTTGATCCCCAAACTTCTCACCGATTCACAATTTTAAGGTCTGTTTCTGTCTTCCATCGCTTACTTAATTTTTCCGCATCGAAGCAATTCTTTCTATTCTATATATACACATTGTGGAATTGTCTGTGTTTCTTCAATGATAATATTGCAGGAGGGCTGCTCAAATTCTTGATGTGATTTGTTCATATCTGCATGTTCGTTCATGTATATGTTGATTTTCTTAGCACAGATTCTACATGGGGATGTGGATTGTGTTTGAATTTATAAAATTACGTTTTATAAATCAAGCAATTTGATTTTTGGAGTATATATATCAATGCGTGTGCATGTCAGCATTGACAGATCTATATGTGTGTTTTGATTCTGTGATTAGTTTTGAAACTCACCGGATTTGATGGCTAGATCGTAAAATAATTGACTCTGTCAACCGAACCTGGGTTCTTAAAATCTTTATGCGTTTTACAAAAAATATATGTAAACAGTGAAGTAATTTGGATTAATCACTTCGAAGAACTATTGTCATTTTGTTGTAAAATTAAATAAACATTTATTTACTATTAGCTTATGTAATGGAACAATTATATCACTGTTAGGTGGTTTGATTCCAAGTGATACAAAATTTTAATTTTAAATTTTGAATCATTAAATTTGCTTTTGAATGTTGGATTAAATTTGTAGTGTTGATATTCTACTTATATATTTCTTAAAAATCTTTTGATTGATCTAGCTGTTAATATAATTATAACTGAGCTAGAGGCTTACCAATCTGATTCGAAATACAGGTTGATATCCAATAGAGGATCCTAAATTTTGTGTCTCGTTTCTTTTGGTGCACCCTCAGAATTTGGAAAATCTGGACCTCCTGTAGTTCAGATGATATAAGCATTTACCAATAAACGAGCATCAAAGTCAGAGAAACTAATTCGAGGATGAGGGCAGTTGTGCTAGTTGCCATTGCGGCTGCCATTGGCAACATGTTGCAAGGATGGGACAATGCAACTATAGCAGGTTCTTCTTTACTATTAAATACTAAATTTTCAATCCTGTTTCTTTCTAGAAACTAATTCATTGTGTATCTATTATGCTTAGGAGCTGTGCTTTACATTAAAAGGGAATTTAACTTGCAAAGCCAGCCAACCATAGAAGGGCTAATTGTTGCAATGTCGCTTATTGGAGCTACGGTTATTACAACATTTTCAGGACCTGTATCTGATTGGCTTGGACGCCGTCCAATGCTAATAATATCATCAGTTCTTTATTTTATCAGTGGAATGGTAATGTTGTGGGCTCCAAATGTTTATGTGCTCCTTTTGGCAAGGCTATTGGATGGTTTTGGAATCGGTCTTGCTGTTACTCTTGTTCCAGTCTATATATCTGAGACGGCGCCACCAGAAATTAGAGGACTGCTAAATACCCTTCCACAGTTTACTGGTTCTGCTGGCATGTTTTTGTCATATTGCATGGTATTTGGAATGTCATTAATTGAGTCACCTAGTTGGAGGTTGATGCTTGGAGT